GAGAAGAACTGTTTCTTGGAACATGCGATCCCAGAAGTATCGGCGGTATTGGCGTTCTCATCAAATCAAATTTCACCGCTAACATCGATTCACTTGAACAACTAACAACCCGTATCGGACGATTATTGATATAATGATGCAGAGGATTTTTGGGGAAAAATTAAAAATCTGTGTTATTAGCAAGCAACATTTTATCCAAGAGAAACCACTCACTGTGTTGTCTACTCTAGGAACTTATGTTCAGTGCGCAGGTTGAGGGTGAACTCGCTCCCTCCTCCCGCTTTCCCCCCTCCCCAGGCATTAGGTGAAGTCGAACAAGAGAGTCAGCTGATACCCAGAGACTAGAAAAGCAATCTGAGATAATGTAAGGCACTCTACGTGTCTGTGAGTTTCTAAAATTTATCCAGAAAGCTTCGAAGGTTTTTCGTGCCGATGTTTTCGATTAGTACCCCACGATTTTAACTGCTACCCCAAACATGCCATCGTTATGCCCTTGTATCGTGGTTGCACCTAAGTGTTTTTCTGCAAATCCTACAGAGTTTCCTACAACACTGTGTTGTAGGCGTCTCATAATAGCGGCGCTCAGTTCGTTTAGTTTAAAGACATTAAAGTTGTAGTTTTGGCTACCTTCTTTCCTTCCCATGAGGTGTTATCGGTAACAGTAACCCGATTCATAGAAATCATACAAGTCTATGGCTGATAACAAGTGAAGCACAAAGAATTACAGATGAACGCTTGTTTGACGATGGAACATAGGAAAAACCCTCAGCTGTGAGAGCGATCGGCTGCACAAGTAGACAGATAGCACCGCCAGCTTACAGTCGTAGAATTAGAGAAACTAGGAATATTTTGGCGTTGGGTAGATGTGCTGAGAAAATTTAAGCAGTTGATTTAGAATGAGGTTTAGGATCCAAGTTATTTCATCCTTTGGTCCGGCTATACAACTAATGATAAATCTAACCTTGAATGCTTTTGGGTCGGTAAACGCAAAATCATCACTAGAAGTTAGTTTGCGTTTTGATGAGTTAGTATAGAACAAGACAAATAGAATGATTATTTTTCAGTTGAGTGATAACTGAAGTCTCTCGAATCGTAATCTTTACTATACTTACCAAATCTTTACTATGTTTTCAGTATTGACTATTGAACTTTTTTCAGAAGATGGCGAAAAGAGGCAAACATCCTGAAATGTCTTTTCCTTATTTCAACAAATAGCTGATCAGAAATTACTACAAACTCCCACCTTTGTCACTAACGGATAGTCAGATCCATTCAGATTTCATAAGATTCCTGACAAGTTGTAAGTCACGTTTTTGTCCTTGTGTATGGTTGGAGCATGATTTTCATGTCGAAAGTATGTGGAAGAATTCGTCCGCATTCGAGCGAAAAATATAGCCAATTTTGCCATTTGATTGTTCTTTCTTAAACAAAGCAACCGTGGAGGGAAATGGTGATAGTGTACTTCTTTGTGGTTTATAACCTTGCTTTCCCAGCCTAGCCTTCAAACGAAGTTGATTTTATAGCTCATGCAAACTGTACGTGATCCTGCTTAAAAGTGAGGAGCGAACGTCTACAAACCAAGAAGTATATCTCGTAATTACTAATTGAGCCAACATGTCATGTGGTCTGTTGTGGGCTCTAAGAAAGAAGGGAGTTGAAGCTGACGATCAAAGAAGTCTGTGCGGTCACTTTTGAGCTGGTTGTTCTCTTTACAATTTTCTCTCGCGTATGCTGCTTCAAAGCGCGGAAGAGATGGTAATTCGATGGAGTAATTTTAGCGCTAAACGGCGGATATGCTACCATGATTCAGCTCAGTTTCTTCAAAATGTGGCAAGTCGGATTCGCACTGTGAAATCGTCCATCGAGACATCATTTTGGACAACGGTAGCCCATTTCATCTGAATGGTGAGCGATTGAGCTACGGCCGTATCCAAGTGCTTGTCCATGCTACTAGACCGCTCTCCATCGTACCACAGCCTTTGGTAGTGGCTCGATTTGAGATTTCGAAAAAAACCGAATAGAGCAACAGTGCGAAATGAATTATGGAACAGCTCAATGTAGATAAAGATCAGTAGTGCGACATTACAGTAGAGCTTGTCATGAACTAGCACACTGAGTTACTACGCCATGGATGTCAGGGTTTGGAATAGTCGGTTACGCGAGAGATGACATGAAGTAAATGATTCCTATGATAACGTCTGGATCTGCGCACGAGAAATGACTGGGCGGCGCATCCCAAGTGATGTTATTTTTTGCCCGTGAATGCTTGGACCTTAGGTGGTAGCCAGTAAGTGATTCAATATGATATATTAAAGGTCACTGGATCTGATACACTATTACGTTACAATATACCGCCAAACGGCTGTTACAAGCTAGAGGGTGATAGGTAAGAATAACGGTGAAAGGAATGACTACATCACCCCCAGTGGCGAACCAGACATAACCCATTTTGGTGAGCTCCACCGGAGAACTTAATGATCTGCGTCACATTGCCACGAAATGACATATCTTTAGGAACTGCTATCGACCAACGATGACAATAAAAGACTCGATAATCTGTAATGAAACATGATTGAAACATGGAGTGTGGTTAGCCGGTAAAATGTGGTCCCATCGTCAATCGTCTGATGACTTCCTCTAAGCGGGATCGATCCTTCTTGGTTCCTTACCAGTCTCACCTCCATAGCACTAGTGCCTGTGTGGCCGATATAGATCGTCTCTCACATATTGAGTGAGAAAACAGTAACAAATTCGTAGAAGATTTTTTTAGCTACGTAGTAATCATTAAAGCATACAATTTTTTATCCAACGTAAATTGTCGAAGCGTCCCAGAGGGGTGCTTTGTTGAAAAGAATGGCTCTAATTGGACCACTCTATTGGATCACCTGAAATTTTGGTGAGTGATCAAGAACAGTGCAAAAGCTCTGAGGCTCTCGGCGTTGACATTCCTGAGTATGGACATGACATTCGACTTCATCAACAATCGTTAGATGTGACTGAACAAATATCTGGCCCCTAGAGGGACTAGCAGTGGCCTACTTATGTATCAACGCGCAGTCGAAAGTTCGATGCTGGGAGTATGCCGTATCTCGCAATTGAGGGAAAGGATCCGAAGTTCCGACCTACGTCAACGAGCGAGAATCAGAGACGCCGTTCTACACGCCAGGATATCGAAAATAAGGTGAGTCGGACACGTGATGCGCTTCAACGAGAACCGATGGGCGAGAGCCGTTACCGACTGGATTCCTCAGGATATCAAGCGCTCTACAGGAAGACCACCGGCCCGTTGGTCAGACTTCTTCACGAAAGCGATAGAAGAAAGATATGATACTCAGCGAATCCCTAGAGCGAGGAGGACTCATTGAGCGACTCTTGCACGCGATAGGGAAAGATGAAAGTGTTACCGATACCCGCTCGAGTCACTCGACGATCAACGGGACGACAGGTGATACAGGTGAGCATCGCTGAAGAATACAACTACTGTATTCTACACCATCAAATTAATTTTGTACAAATTGAGAGTGTGGGCGCTAGTTAGCGAAGTTGTCACCGATACTGTATACCAGAAAGCAAGGTGATAGGTAAGGCACAGTTTTGAATCCCTATCCTAATACTTTCTTGTCCTCAGTGAACGATCATCATAGAGGCCGCCTGGCTCGGCAAAATCCAGAATGGCATAGAGAATCGTTTCATCCCGTCATTCCTCGACATCCATAGGGAGGACGAAATCCTGATGCTGCAGCCGAAGCGACATGTGAAATCCCGAAGACCTTTGTGGAGGCTTCAAGCGAGGAGACGAGTCAAAGACAGGAAGCGCTAGCATCCGGCAAGCAAATTGTGATGACGGATCGTGTAAAATAAATAAAGGATAAGTATAAAGTTCTCGGCGTTGACCAGCCACAAAGGGATGCGCTATGCCTTCGACTTCCATTTTCAACTTCGTCTGAGGTGATTGAAGGCATATCTGGCCTTTACAATGACTCACGGTGGCCTCCGAGTGTATCGAGTCAGTGCTGCTTATCCCCCCAGACAAGTCTCAGACCAGTCCGATGCCAATTTACCGACCGCGGAGGGATGGATGGCTTGATGAGCCGTGAGTGCGCGATTGAACCAATAGCCTTGTGTGCGACGCAGACCTCTAACCACTGAGCCACACATGTCCCATGGATCTATGTTAATGGAATAAAATGAGGGAATCTTATGCGATTTCAAAACTTTTTTAATCTACACGACCCATCATCACAATTTTTTGTGGGGATCCCACTACTTTTAGCATTTGATTCCCTCTTCGCCTTCTTTATGCATGGCCTAGAATACTGGTCTCGCATGTCTTCTTGCAATCGAGGTTAGCCTGGCCGTGGCATTTCGTAGCGCCGCTCCTGTTGACTGCCGGAGAGCGTTGCGCGGTAGAGCTTGGCTTCATGCGCGTCGCGTCGAGCATCACAACCACTCGGCCACGACGCGCCGACTTCGAATTGGGCTCACTGATGAAATCGTGACCTGCTGCCAGTATCTGCTCGTATCGCGACACCCTGACAACGACTACGATAGCTTTCCATTCCATTTCTTCTTCGATTATTTCTTGCTTGTTATGTTTGTTTACCCAGTTTTCAGGACCTTTGGGTCATCTAGGAAGGAAGAGGGTAGGGCTTAGTTGGGTTAAAAAAAAACAATGGCTCAAATCAACTCAAATCTATCCTAAATCCTCCGATTTCTGCCCATCCCTGCCAAGCCTTTCCCGCCGTGATTGCAACGCCTAAAATCCGACAGTTTGATCTGAAAGCTTTTCTTTTCCTACGTGGACTTCAAATTTTATGAGATCGAAATTCTGAGTATCTAGAAATTCTATCGCGACACGGGCGGTTTAATTTTTGCAAAAAAGCACAAATACGCGCGCTTTTCGGTACTGAAATAATTTTTCATGTTTCTCTTTTTATTTTATTAAGAATAGGAATAAAGGAAGCTATTAGAAATTACCAAATTAATAAACCAAATACGACGCGTCGGTGATGCAACGGTTCAGCAAGCGCTCTCGAAAAAGAGTGGCATCTGGGTTCGAATCCCGGCTGACACAAATGTTTTTGTACGTCACTCTACATTATTTTGGGTTTATTGTAAGATCACACAAACGCAATACACGTTCAAATGAACTGCATTCTGACTGATTTAATAAAAATAATGAAGCTTATCATTAGTCAAATGATTTTATTTGACCGCCACTTGCGGTGCTATGATGGTACAATGTACCCAATAGTGTAGAGAGCTGTGCAAAAGCGTTTGCGTCAAGCGGGAGGATTCGAACCCAGATCTCACTCTTTCCGGGAGTGTATGCTAACCGTTGCACCACCGACGCTCGTCTTGCACAGCACTCTTTCCACTCTTTTTTTTTCGGAAAGAGAGAGATCTGGGTTCGATTCCCGGTCGACGCAAACGTTTTTGCACAGCTCTCTACGCCTATTATTAAGTCGTTCCATAAGTTTTGGCAGTAGCGTAATAAACACCAGATTTAATTATCAGAAATAATTAAAATTGCATGATTTTGGTATCATTCGAATGCGCATTTTCTTGCGAATATTTCGCTATCTAATTTGCCTATACGTACTCCAAGATGGAGCTGTCTTGGAAACAAACTCGCCTGCTATTCATGCACGAATGGCGCGTAAGAGAAAATGCTACTGAAGTGACTCTCAAGATTAACCTTTTCGCGGCTGTGGACCCACGGCCTCTGCATCGCTAACTGGCAACCCTGGACGGTCTGCTCCAACTCTCCTGCGTCTCTAACCCCCAGCGCGCCACCGTTAGACGTAACACCGTGGGGAATTTGAAGATTAATAGAGCTTGTGGCAATGAAACAGTTGCAAAAAGGACGACTAGGACGCGCTCTCGCGAAGACCAAAGTTGGAGAGTACAGTCTGGAGGATCGGTCGTGCTTGAGACGTCCACAGAAAGCTCCTTAGTCTTGCGCGCCGCTTCATTAGCGCATTGTTCCCTACGTGCCATTCCATTCTTGCTCGAGTAGCAAGCGACTTTGTTTCCAAGACAGCTCCATCTCATAGAGTAAGTATAGGTAAGTTGTATACCAAAATTTTTGCGAGAAAATGCGCAATCAAACGATACCAATGTCACGCAGTTTTAATTACTTTTGGTTAATTAATTTGGTGTATATTGCTCTAATGACATAACTTATGAAGCGACCCAAGACAATTACTATTAAGCACTGTTTTCGGTGCTTATGTGTTAGATGAGCGCATGTGGCGCAGTGATTAGAGGTGCTGTGCGTCGCACACGACGTCAATGGTTCGATCTCGCGCTTATGGCTCACCAAGCCATCCATCCCTCCGAGGTCGGTAAATTAGTACCAGACAGGTCTCAGACTTGCCTGGGAGGATAGGCAGCACTGACTCGGTTCAGCGGGAGGCCACCGCGAGTCATTGTAAAGGCCAGATATGCATTCAATCACCTCAAACGAAGTCAAAAATTGAAGTCGAATGCATGGCGCATCCCACAGGGATTGATCAACGCCGAGAGCTTTATCCTTCATCCTTTGTATGTTAGATGGCAATAAATGGCTATTCGACCTTATGCGCTGGACAGGGACTTTTCATAAGCTTCATAGGTGGCTGTTTCTTCAAAACACTCTTTTATAAATCTATAAAATCCAGAACAACCTTATGTTTCACATGATCACGTGTTTCTTTTGAATCTCGCATATATTTCGCTGTACAAAACTCGTTTCTTAGAGTGTTAGTACTCTTTTGATAGTGCTGTGGGAGAAAGAAAAGATTTGTCTTTACAGCTCGCCGGACAGAGCCTTTTATTTAGACTATTAGTAATCATTCAATAGCGTAAGTTCCAGTGATTCCAACGCTGTGCTTATTTCTGTGAAGGACCGTTTCGCTGCGGTGTAGCGCGGGAAATAAGATCGAGCTTCGCATATTTGGCGACCTTGTTCACCGGCAGACCTAAGGCAGCGGGGCAGGAGAGGGGGCGTGGCGATCGATCGACACGAGTTAGTTACGTAGGGTGCATCCTGTTTTCAATGGGGAATTTTTCTCCGCTTCATAATGAACTCTATATAAAAACGACTGATTCAGATCCTACGAAGCTGTCTCTACACATTCATATGCTTTTTGTGCTTCCAGCGAATCATACGCGCGAGAAAAATGAAGTCACGCTGCTGGTGTGGAAGATTATTTTAGTTTGAATTTTGCAGCGTTATAAAAGGGTGTTTTAGAAAACAGTCGACGCGTAGCTGTAGCCAGAGATTCAAGCTTTTGAATGACCACTAACATTCCTTTCAAAAATTCTTAATTAGAGAAAGAGATCGGTTTTTCATTCATCACCGTCTAACAAATATTCTGCGTAACCTGTTTTTCAGCACAGACCGCTCTCATCTATGATTTGCTTTGATCTATAAAATTTCAGAGCGCTTCTTCTTCTTTTGATCTCAGCTCTCAAGAAAGTACGTAATTCAGTTGATTTTTCAGGACCGAACAATGTCGGAACTATGCAAAAGATTGTCGTCCACAGTGCTGGAAATGAAAGTAAGTGGAACGGTGCCGATGTTTGCGTTCTGCTCGATATTCACCTATGTTTTGTCAATTTTAGAATCTACTTTCTTACTTGCGCGTACAGCGCAATGGTTGGAGGCGCTCTGCTACACCCAGGACCCGACTAATTGATGGTTGATGGTTCGATGCTCGCTCAACGCCCACCAAACCTTCCATACTTGCGGGGTTGTTGACTTGGTGGCAGACTTGTCTGAGAGAGCAGCGCCACTGACTTGATACATCGGTAGGCCACCGCGGGTCCTTGTAAAGGCTGCATAAGCATTCAGTCACGTGCACAAGGCTACGAATTGGTCCAAAGTATGGCGATCCCTCAGGGATTGGTTAACGTTGAGAGCTCTGTCTTTTTGAATTTGTCTCCTTAATGACACTCTAAAAATGCTGATCGAGGCGATTATCCTTGCTATCTTAAAGGTGGTCGAGCTAAGGCGTTCCCTAAGGCTTTCGTTAACTGACTGCAGGACAGTGTCGGGGCGGAGGATCGAACCAGCGCCTCTATCACCTTGCCTACTGATGCATCGTATTACTCACCATTGCGCTACCCCGCCCCCGATATTCGCGTAATTTTACTAGATGTTCGTGGTTTTTGTAAATAGGAGAATCTACAAGCATCAGAAATATTCAGCACACCTCTTACACATGTTTTTTTTTTCGTTGATGTGAATTCATAGTTAAATAATTGTATGAGTTTAGTCTTTGGAAAGGTGGTTTTAGTGGAATTTGTGGTTATCTGTGATTTTTAGTTCATGCAAAAAACGAAGAGGAGACTAGAAGCAAGAGAAAGGAAGCGACGAGAAGCTGAATTGAGAAGGCAGTGTTTTGAGAACGAAGACGATGCAGCGGAACCAAAGCGCAAACTGTTGTAAGTTGTAGAACAAACAATAACTTTATATGGTTCTTTTCAGAGTTATAAGGGGATAAAGGAAAAACCGACCTCATTTGCTGAACGCAGGAAGAAAACCACCTAGGAACTTATCTTAAGAGTTTCAATATGCCTGATAATCATTATTTGAGCCACGCATGTCAGTGGTCTGTCAAACAGGGCTGACTTATAGAGCCCGACTGACGAGATCACAAGATCGAAACACTGTATCGGGCTCTATAAGTCAGCTCTGTTTGACAGACCATTGACATGCGTGGCTCAAATAATGATTATCAGGTATATTGAAATTTAAGCAGTGCTCTTAAGATAACATTCGAATCGAAAGTTATGATTTATCTTAAGAGTGTTAGTAATCATTCGAAAGCTTAGTATTCTGGCTACAGCCTCACATCGTCGGTTTTCGGAAAAGCCAAATTGACGTTGTTACAGTTTTTGTTTGTTTTTTTGTTAGTTTTTGCGTTACGGACGAGCATATTTCTCGCCGGACAGAGATCTTTTTCTGGACTATTAGTAGTCATTCGATAGCGTAATGTATACTGATCTCAGCGCTGTGCTTATATCCTGAAAAGACCGTTGCTCTTCCACGCAGCAGCTAAAATAAGTTGAATTCGCATGTGCGACCAAGGTGGTCTTTGTCCAATTCATGTGCCCCTGGGTAAGGTGGTACATGCGCTGATGCAATGTCGTAAGACCGGTGCAAGATCAATCGTTCATCGTGTTAGCGCACGTGGGAGCCTTACCCAGCGGCACGTGAATTGGCCAAAGACCACCTTGGTCGCACATGCGAATTAGAATTATTTCACTTGCTGGATTGCATAGAAACGGATTTCATTTCCAGCAAATGAGACCGCTTTTTCATTTATCCCCTTGTAATTGAAAAGTACCCTTTATTTTCAACTTATTTTCAAGATTCAGCCTGAAAATTAGTACATTCTGTCAGCATGTTCTGAGATTTTCATGAGGTCTGTTATGGCATTTGTAATGCTAAGCGTACAATTCGGCCTTTTGGCCTCATCAGTAGCACGGTGCCTGTCGGTCCAGCCAATCCTAAGAGAATATACCACCTACATGTAAAGGATATAACTAGTTCGGTGTCGATCCCCTTATATCTAGGGGTACATGCCCTTAGAGGGGAACTGCGTAAGTCTAGTAATATAAGTGTGTCTGGGAGGTTCGCAGCACTGACTTGACACTTCTGTGGAGCACCGCTAGTCACTATAAAGGCCAGATATTCATTTAGTCACCTCTACGGTGCTACGAATGGAGTCAAATGCAGGCGCATCCCTTAGGGATTGATTAATGCTGAGAGCTTTATTATTTTGATGTTATGCCAGATACGACGTGCACTCAAGTGGCAGAGCTAAGCGTCAGTTTACTCCTTGATTAGGCAAGAGAACAGATTTTTGATTTGTATCTCGAAGAAAGTGATGCGAGAACGGTGAAGATGTTGGCACAATGGTAGCATGCGCCGCCAGTATCGGTTGGACGCGAGTTCAACTCTCACCTTGGGTTCGAAAATGTCACATGCTACTCGTCATCCTTGGAGACATTTTCGATTATTTGGAAGCACTCAATTAGTCAATATCACATTCTGCTTCTTGAGTATTCATGGTAAAGTCTTGATATTCATGGTTCAGGAATCTGCAATTTTCAAACGACTTGACCTATTTGCAAGGTTTGAAGTTTGGACGAATGTCATTCAAAGGCTGCAATCCGGAAGTAGAGGTGATAGATTTCTACAATTCTTTTTCTGAGTTGCAACAATTTTTACCGTTCTATATTTTCAGAAATTGATGATTTATCATGAGCGTAAAATGAACGGGGAAGACTCGGAAACCGACTCTGACGATGGGAAAGACGTGGCCGATCAGGAAATGGCAAAAACGTATGTTTAGCCAACTT